CTCAAAACACCTGCAAAGGCCTTTAAAAGGTCCCTCAGTCTTGTTTTGAAGGCACCACAATCATGGGGAAGACTTCTGACTTAACAGCTGTCCAAAAGACAATCATTGACACCTTGCACAAGGAGGGCAAGACACAAAAGGTGATTGCTAAAGAAGCTGGCTGTTCGCAGAGCTCTGTGTCCAAGCACATTAACAGACAGGCGAAGGGACGGAAAAAATGTGGTAGAAAAAAGTGTACAAGCTCTAGGGATAACCGCACCCTGCAGAGAATTGTGACGACAAACCCATTCAAAAATGTGGGGGAGACCCACAAAGAGTGGACTGCAGCTGGAGTCAGCGCTTCAAGAACCACCACGAGGAGACTCATGAAAGACATGGGATTCAGGTGTCGCATTCCGTGTGTCAAGCCACTCTTGAACATGAAACAGCGCAAGAAGCGTCTCGCCTGGGCCAAGGACAAAAAGGACTGGACTGATGCTGAGTGGTCCAAAGTTATGTTTTCTGATGAAAGCAAGTTCTGCATTTCCTTTGGAAATCAAGGACCCAGAGTCTGGAGGAAGAGCGGAGAAGCACAGAATCCACGTTGCATGAGGTCCAGTGTAAAGTTTCCACCGTCAGTGATGGTGTGGGGTGCCATGTCATCTGCCGGTGTTGGCCCACTCTGTTTCCTGAGGTCCAGGGTCAATGCAGCCGTCTACCAGGAAGTTTTAGAGCACTTCATGCTTCCTGCTGCTGACCAACTTTATGGGGATGCAGACTTCACCTTTCAACAGGACTTGGCACCTGCACACAGTGCCAAAACCACCAGCACCTGGTTCAAGGACCATGGTATCCCTGTCCTTGATTGGCCAGCAAACTCGCCTGACCTTAACCCCATAGAAAATCTATGGGGTATTGTGAAGCGGAGGATGCAATACGCTAGACCCAACAATGCAGAGGAGCTGAAGACGACTATCAGAGCAACCTGGGCTCTCATAACACCTGAGCAGTGCCACAGACTGATCGAGTCCATGCCACGCCGCATTACTGCAGTTATTGAGGCAAAAGGAGCCCCGACTAAGTATTGAGTGCTATACATGCACATTCTTTTCATGTTCATTCTTTTCAGTTGGCCAACATTAGAGAAACGAACATTTTTTCATTGGCCTTTAGAATATTCTAATTTTCTGAGATACCAGATTTGATGTTTTCATTGGTTGTCACCTATAAATATCAAAATTGAACGTAATAAACATCGGAAATACATTGGTCTGTGTGCATTGCATGAATATAATGTACAAGTTTCACGTTTTGAATGGAATTACTGAAATATTTTCAACCTTTTGATGATATTCTAATTTACTGGCCAGCACCTGTAGATATCGGGGCAAAACAAAGTAGCTCGTCAGAACACCTGTTGCACTTGGTTGACATACTTGCTCAGGCTGAGGATAAATGGCTTGCTTGCTTAACACAATGCCTATTACACCATCTAGTGAACGTATTGGGAACAGCAGGTTTTTTATTGAAAAAGTAGAATTTATTTTCACTCTACATTGTAAAGTATGAAAATAAAGTTTATACAACCATCTCGCGGGCCGGACTCAACCCGTTTGCGGGCCGTATATTTGACACCCCTGTGTTAAACCCTTCAGAAGACAACATTTTAGCCTCCTTATCTCAACAAAGCTGAAAAAAGGGTAATCTTTGTTTTGTCCTTTTGGGAGTATCAATAATAAAGGCATACTATGCAACTTTTTCATATTTTATACCATTTTCTTGAGCCAGTATGTGCTATAATGACCCTTTACATGGCTAATGAAATGTCACTCAGGCACCACTGTCCTCTGTGGGCCGAATACCGCACTTGCAATTTCCGAGTATCCGGTCCTTGTTTGTCAATAGGAAAATGGAGCTGACATGCATTGCACTGGAGTCTGCTTCCAGCATGATTCCTGCATGTTTTACATCATGAACACAGCTGGTTTGATTGATTTAGTGATGAACCCCTCATGTAGAAACTAATGAAGTCTGAGAAGCCGTTTTAGTAGTTAGCCTGGGGCACACAGAAGACCGATGTGCTGCACTGCTGTACTGAGGCAGCAGGGAAACACTGGTGTTTGAAAAGGAAAACACGGAGCAGGGGGGTCCTGAGGGCCGGAATTGGAAACACTTAAAGACAAACGCACACCAAGAAAGTTTCGGTTTCACGACTCTAGGGGGTGCTAAAAGTAAGCTAAAAGTTTGTCTTTAAAGTCCCATGGGTCAAGTTCCGGACCATGGATACCCGGAAGAATAAAAAATGAATTAAGTCAACGGGGCTAAAAAACGTTATTTTCTAATTGTGCTTGTTGCGTACCATGGATTTCACATATGATGTCCGTGAATTTTAAAGATGCATTTTGATACCAAGAAAACACTCATTTTTGAGCAGGGGGAATGTTATTTTAGGTTTTGTGTGAAAATACGTCCAGGACTACAAACGCACTTCACGAAAGTGACGTTGTCAAACCAGACACGGAGAAAAACAGAGGGAAAATGGCTGTAAGTTCAGGGAACTTGAAATCCTTCCTTCAGAAGGAAAGAACCACCGTAAATACGGCCATTTGGTAAGTAGCAGCTATGCTGGGGAGAGATTGTGTGGTGACATCATATATATGCGACATCTGATTTGTAGTCATGCTAATTATGAACTTTTACAAGCTGATAAATCTCAAAATCTGTTACTGGCGTGGTTGAAACACACATCATTAGTTTTCATTTAAATAGAAATACAACATATGTGCTATCCAGGGTGTAAGGCAAAGCGGATTAGAAAATAGCTCTTTTAGCTATTGCATTCATTTTTTTCATTCTCCGGGGACCCAAAAGCTGACTGGAGAATTAGGCTCCCTTTTGTGTAAAATCAATCAATCAATCAATCAAAGCTTTATTTATAAAGCGCCTTCCGCAACCCTGTCAGGAAGCCCAAGGCGCTGAACACTGTACAGTACAAAGTCAAATAAAGTGAATAAATCAGAAAATAAAAGCAATTCAAATTACAGATTACAAATTACAAAAAAGGTGAAACATTCTAGTAGAATACAAATGTGTAAAACAAGGGAAAAATTGAACCAATGAAGATAAAAGCCAATAAAACGCCAATAAAACCCAGTAAAAAGCAAGGTACAAGTGCATAAAGAGGACGAGCAGCTCGCAGCGTGCACCCACGCGAGTGCCATCTTACTCTCATCTCCAATCAAAAATCACTCAAATCCATAGCGCCATGCAGTTCAGCAAAGGTATTGCAGCCACAGTGGTCCACACGCATCAAGAAGGCAACACGAAAACGCCACACACCAGCTTTCAACCGTCTGTAAGTTTAAGACTAGACATTCTCCCTCTCTTGATAATGACATTTTGCCTTCTTTAACATGGAATGTGCTACTACTAGTTAGCCTGCTGAAATAATTACATATTTACTCAGATAAAGACAATACAGTTTATCTCCTACTAAAGAGAATATCTACTAAGAAATCACAATGTAGCCACAAGCAGTTCTTACAAAACAATGCCGTCAATTTGCCACAACGCCGCGGCAGCATCAGGAAGCCTTAGGTTGTTTATACTTAGGTTGTTTATAAGTGGTCCGACCGTGGCAGTAAAGTGGCGCAATTGTATATTTTAAAAGGGAGTTTTCCTCTCCACTGTCGCTAAATGCTTGCTTAGTATGAGGATTGCTGTAAAGACACTGACACTAGTCAGTGACTCGATGCAACCTGCTGGGTTCCTTATATAGAAATTTTTTTCTGATTAGCTTAATGACCTGACCTGTATTGGAATGTTTACTATGTGAAGTGCCTAGAGACGACTCTTGTCGTGATTTGACTATAGTGAAACAAACTGAGTTGTGATGAAGTCAGCGTCTATCTCAGTGATTAGAGAGCCCTCTCTCTTGTCCTGTGAATAGAGAACGGACCTGATCTCACTCATTTGCAGCAGCTGTGTCTTCTCACTTCATTGCTGCCACTTCTTTCGTGTGTAACGTGCCTGCCGCATGGCCCGCACCGAACGCATCTGCTGCGTCGACCACGTCACTCGTCTCCATCCCCTGTGGCCGTGATCACATGTAGTTAGAGCAGGCCAGGGCAAGCAACCCAAGAGGAAGGAGCAGAAGTTCCCCAAACCAGTTAGGCTGCCACAGAGAGAACCGGCGCCAACCCTGCACAATATTTAGAGGGAGGAGGAGAAACTTAAGTCAAAGCATGCTAAACACAGAGCAGTATGTCTTTTATGTCCATAAACAGCTACAGTATTTCAAGTTGCTGCATGACAATGGAGTGTCGACCACAGTTTAGGACACAGTTCATCAATACACCTGATTTTATTCAGCACCCCTCTGCAGAACCTGATGAGCTGCTGAAACGATCATTCAACTACTGAATGAAGTGTGTTAGAGCTGAGGAACAACAAAAACATGCTGGGTACCCAGCATGACCAGGACTGACGGGTAGAGCTGATGCCCAGTTGTAAATTCCTTCCTGATTGTGTAGAGTCCAGCCGAGCTGTGCTGAGAGGTTCAGTGGAAAGGGCTAAAAAATGACTGATGTAAATATAATGTAGTGCAACGTTTTAACCTGAAGATGGGGGAATAGATTGTTTAGGGCTGAAATAAAAAAAAGATACACAAAAATAACGACACACAGGTCTGCAGGACTATAGACTCTCATTTATAAAGTTTGTCGGCAAAAACAAAGTGGGGCAAATAGGTAAAACTGCTCAGAAACTAATAATAACGCTGGCGGAAACCGTTTCCAACGCGGTAACAAATCTCTACACAACACCGGATTCATTTAAAAGCAATAGAAGCACGCGCCCCGGATGACAAGCAGTGACAACCTCACGCGATGCTGTAAGAAGTAAAAACTTCGCCGACCTCACGCTATTGTGAGCGTGACGCGGGTTTCCCGTGAAGAACCGGCCTTTGTTTACATCTGAGAGGGAAGCCACGCGGTACCCGGACACTTCCGGTACGGAAGCCCCGCCTCCGCAGCTGTCACTGCGGCAGCTACGCCCTCACCGGCTAATTCACAAACATATTTCTTTATTTTATTTGTGTGTAAGTGATTTTGGCGGACACAGAGGGCTTTGGTGCGGTATCCGTGCCAAGCCGCGGCGAGCGGAGCGGAAGTGGCTGTGCGACAGGCGCAGGACATTTAGCGCCACTCGGAGCAACTCCTCCCCGGTTCCTCTGCTCATCTGTTCTGAAGGCGCCAGATCAGAGGAACCAGGCTGGCCTAGCCAAACAAAGCAGCGCTCAGCACCAGGCAGGGCGGCTCGTTTGGACCCGGTTCTGCTGACGCAGAGAAGAGTGAACTTCAAGGGCAGAATCCTGAGGTGAGCGGTTGAAGCTAGCTTGTTGTTATGTTTAAAGTTAGCGGTGCTGGAACAAAGTTTCAGCTAAAGCTGATCTAGCTGATGCTAACCAACCCACAGAAAGCTGAGATGGGCTAACTGGGTCGATGCTGAGCTCGGTGTCGGTTCTGTTAGGATAGAAACTGAAATAATCTCAGCCGTATGTGTTCGGCCATGGTGTGGGTCAGCTGAGAAACTTTCAGGTCCCGGGCTAATTTCAGCCCTTTGGCTGAAAGCTGTTGAGTTCCGTCCTGTAGCAGTTACCCCTCAGGCCGGGCTGCTCGTTGTCAGGAGGGGGTTGGGAGCAGGTCAGGGACCTGGTTCACATCCTGTCTGAAAACGTTTCCCCCCCCCAGGTTTACTCACACGGTGTCACCGAGCTCACGGACCATCATGAGAGGGCAGAGGTGAGTCGGCTCTGGCTAATCTCTGGCCTGTTCCTTACCCTGACTGCATGTGTGACCACCTGCTGATGTTCCTACCTGTGTGCTGTGCTTCTGCAGGGATGAGAAGGAACCCAGGTCTGCAGCACCCACAGAGAAACCAGTCCGAGCGAGGAAGAGGAAGGCAGATGTTGCTGTTGTAAGAGAGCTAACCCCACCAGCTGCTGCTTCACCAGGGTTAGGGTCAGGCCCCACCGGGATCAGGCTCCCATAAATATCCCATCAAATCATTTCACATTTCAATTCATGTTGCGCTGCGCCTGATGTTATAAGAAATTATTTTTAGATAAATACTAACCATCCAGAGGTGCCAACTAGTGGTACGGATCACGGTTTTCTGTCACAAATCGTTTTTCTTATCAGCTGAAAGAAAAAAAACAGAAAACACAAATGGCTTGGTTGTCTCGTTAGTTTGTAGAACAGGTGATGCAGCATTTATGTATTTAGCCCCAAATCCCGACAGGAGTCGTCTCACGGCACTTCACACAGTAAACAATCCAGTACAGGTCAGTTCATTAGGCAGTAAAAAGTTTCCTGTATAAGGAGCCCAGCAGGTTGCATCAAGTCACTGGCTAGAGTCAGTGACTTGATGCAACCTGCAACAGCAATCCTCATACTAAGCAAGCATGCAGCGGCGACTGTGGAGAGGAAAACTCCCTTTTAACAGGAAGAAACCTCCAGAGAATCCTGACTCAGGCCTAGTCCACGTGTTTTTTAAAAACGAATATCCGCCCCTCCAAAAACTTGCATCCACACCACCTCGTTTAAAAAAAACTCTGTCCACACGTACCCGGATAAATACGTTGTTAAGGACATGCCAGACCTGTAGGCGGCAGTACTTCCCCCGTTCTTAACCTCGTCCTTCGTCTGTGGTCTTCCGCAAGGAGCAGTAACTCCGCTTGCAAAAACAAACAAGCAGAAAGCGCTTGGACAATTGATAAAGCGAGCGCAGCTCTGAGGGCATCCATGCTGTCGGCTAGTGTAAACACAGGTCGCACGCGTGATGTCAGCATTTTTTTGTCGCGGAAAGTGACGTTGCGGACCTTAAAACTCCGGTTTTGTCCGTCCACACGCAGACACCCAAAACGGAGAAAACGCAGATCTTCACTTTGGCCGGAGTTTTTAAAAAGATCCGTTTTCGTGTGGATGACAGGCCAAAACGTAGAAAAATATCTACGTTTTGGCAGATCCCCGGCTACGTGTGGACAGGGCCTTAGTATAAGCAGCCATCCACCACAACTCACTGGGGATCGAGAAGACAGAGCAGACACACACACACACACACACACACACACACACACACACACACACACACACACACACACACACACAACCCCCACAAAAACATGAGATCCCTTTGCCGTTGCTGGAAATTTCACATATTCAGCTGATAACTATGGTTCAGTAGCGTTTTGCTGCAGGGGGCAGATGAAGCTGGTGTGATGAGATGTCACGGAGCTGTGGAGTAAAATGAGACTGATGTTGTCTTAGTCTGTGACAGATTATTATCTGTAGTTTAGTGGGTTTAATGTATAAAGGAGAAGATGAATGACCAGCAGACCGCCCACCTGTTTAGCTGAAAGACGGGAAAAGGAGACCTCCAACCGGAGTCTGGCACCAACGCGAGGGTTTTAAAAATGAAGAAGAAGAAGAAAGTATCATTTCTATAGCGCCTCTCAAGATAAAAATCACGAGGCGCTTCACAAAAACAAACAAAAAAAAATGTAAAAATATAAAAAAGCATTTAGAAAATGTTTAAAATATATTTAAAATGAGCAAAAATAGGCAATTGGGATTAAAAAAATGTTAGAGAGAGTGAACAGTAAAGAGGGGAATCAGTGGATCCTGAGGAAGGTGGAATAGGTGGGGAGAGCAGAATAAAGAGAGATGACCCTTCCTCTGAGGAGCTGGGTCATGAGCTCACACTAAAGAGGAGCGTTAACGGCGGCGCTTTACTTCATCTTCAGCTTTCTTTTGGTCAGCGGTCTGCTTAGTGACACATGCTTCCAGGAGGTGCACTCATGACGTAGCGTGTCCCGCTGAAGCCAGGCGTCGTTCAGTCTGACACACACACACACACACACACACACACACACACACACACACACACACACACACACACACACACACACACACACACACACCAAGTAGTGCTCTATGGCTACACTGTGATTTCTTGGATATTCTACGTAGTAAGAGCTGGACTTCCTTTACAATGTTCATTATGTCCTCTTTTTAAATATGAGACGAGGTTCTTTTAGCTTCGGACATGATGAAGACCGCAGACGACGGTCGAAACATGTAAAGGTAACTCGAAACCCTTTCATGTCCGAAGCTAATTGAACCTCGTTTAGTAAGAGATGGACTTTATTGTCATTAAGGGAATATAGAATTAATTCAACAGGTGAAGTAACAGAAGCACGTTCTATGTTAAAGAGAGTAACATGTTATCATGAGAGCGAAAACGTTATTTGCAACTTGCTATTAAATATAGGAATGACAGAGAAGTCCAATTGCTGATTAAATGATAAAACGGCTTGCCCAAATGCTGACTTCCTGCGTATGAGGCTTTCAGTCATTTCCTCACCTTTCTGAAGTGCTGCTTACTTTACTTTCCCCCTCTTTTACAGATTTTTAACAGTATTTCAGGTCCAACCACATTAACGTCATTGTCCCAGGAGTTTGGTGCGCGCCACCTCCCTCCCTGCTTTCACATCAATCGGAGGGATGTGTGAACGGAGTTGCGCCGTCAGACTGGAAGCACGCGTGTGTGTTTATTTTTGCACTTTGTATCGTCGTCGTATTTTACAGTGAAACAAAAAGGCGTCCATACACTTGGCTTAAACGCTGAAGGTGGTTTTTCCGGCTCCTCCCCTCCTCTCACGTGACCACCACTGTCCTTTACTTTCTTGGATTGAACAGGTGGCGCCTCGGCCCTTCACGTGACCAATCCGCTTAGCATGTGCGCGCCGAACTGTAGAGATCCGAGTGGATCACAGATCGATGATGATCCGTTGCACCCCTAGTGCCTATGGCGCGGTATGGGGGCCAAAATTAAGACTACTGCCCAGCAGCAGGAGGCTATATAAATTCTGAAGCAAACTACCGACCTGATTAATGATAAGCTGGCGCCGGTAACTGAGAGGCTGGTGCTGCTTACTGAGGAATAGCACCTTCACCGGCGTTACTACTAGATATGCTAGGGACTAGCAGCCCTCGGCTGGTCATTGACTGGTTCACACTCCCCCTCTGCTGTCCATTAGCATGGTTAGGCTAGAGTTAGCCTGGACGGGCTGGTGTTAGCTTTGGAGAGGCTAGCCATTAGCGTGCCTAGGCTGGCCACTAGCTGAATTTCCTACCTCCTCTACGAACCATTAGCATGGATAGGCTGGCGTTAGCATCGGAGAGGCTAGCCATTAGCGTGCCTAGGCATGCCATCAGCTGGATTTCCTACCCTCTCGACGGACCTTTAGCATGGATAGGCTGGTGTTAGTATCAGAGAGGCTAGCCATTAGCGTGTCTAGGCATGCCATCAGCTGGATTTCCTACCCTCTCGACGGACCTTTAGCATGGATAGGCTGGTGTTAGTATCAGAGAGGCTAGCCATTAGCGTGCCTAGGCTGGCCACTAGCTGAATTTCCTACCTCCTCTACGAACCATTAGCATGGATAGGCTGGTGTTAGTATCAGAGAGGCTAGCCATTAGCGTGCCTAGGCTGGCCACTAGCTGAATTTCCTACCTCCTCTACGAACCATTAGCATGGATAGGCTGGTGTTAGTATCAGAGAGGCTAGCCATTAGCGTGCCTAGGCATGCCATCAGCTGGATTTCCTACCTCCTCGATGGACCTTTAGCATGGATAGGCTGGCGTTAGCATCAAAGAGGCTAGCCATTAGCATGTCTCGAAGAGTCACTTACTCTACTAGATGCTTTTTTTTAAACGTTTATTAAACTGATGACTATGAGACCTGCAATCACAGCTGTTCCTTTGACAGAACGCGTTGTTATACACATTAACTTTAAGCATACTGTAAAGCCGACAGCCTGTTAGCATTGATTAGGTGCTGCGTTAACTCCATTCTGCTCTTAATTACAGATTGATGGCGTTTTCATTTTATATAGTTTGGTTTTCTTGTACTTATCAGAGAAAAAGCCAGAGCTAACTAGTTTGTACTTTTCATCTTTGGATTTTAAATCCTTGGTATTGAGTTACAGGTTAATAATTATTTAAATCGTGATGTTATCTTTATTAAAACTATAATATATAAAAAAAAACTTCTAATAGAGTGACTCTCCGAGACATGCTAATGGCTAGCCTCTCCGATGCTAACGCCAGCCTATCCATGCTAATAGTCCGTCAAGGGGGTAGGAAATCCAGCTAGTGGCCAGCCTAGGCACGCTAATGGCTAGCCTCTCCAATGCTAACACCAGCCCGTCCAGGCTAACGCTAGCCTATCCATGCTAACAAACAGCAGAGGGAGTGTGTGAACCAGTCAATGACCAGCCGAGGGCTGCTAGTCCCTAGCGTATGTAGTAGTAACGCCGGTAAAGGTGCTATTCCTCAGTAAGCAGCGCCAGCCTCTCAGTTACCGGCGCCAGCTTATCATTAATCAGGTCGGTAGTTTGCTTCAGAATATAGCCTCCTGCTGCTGGGCAGTAGTCTTAATTTTGGCCCCCATACCGCGCCGTAAGTGCCAGCTAAACTATGAAAGGGGTAACTGATCAATTATAAGAAGTTAGAAATGATTTTCTCTCACTAATCAAAAACACGATAAAGTGAAGGAACATTCTGAATAATCCAGACTACATGAATGAATTCCTGTCAGAAAAACTACCCATCAGAGCTAATTTTTGTTCTAGTCTTTTAAAATGACACGTTTGTCTGGTAAATAGTTAATTACACAAAAGGTAACCGTACTTTTCTCCTGTAACAGAAGGCTTCACTACAGCCCCTTATAAAAGACACACCACGGTGGTAAACTAGGGCTATACTGCCGCCATAATGCTGCTCGTGGACTAAACATGAGGGCATGGCTTCAGTCAGCATAAAAGCAAGCTGCATCCAAGCTAAAAGGAAGTCTGAGACGGCTCCCAGTCTGCCCCCGCAACCCCTCATATCGCCATTGTGGACTCATTTGTGATTAGCACTTGATTGCACCATATTTCCGCCACGGTCTGACCACTGATGATCGACCAATGTCCTCCTGATGCTGTCTCCGCTTTGTGGCAAAGTGACGCCATTGTATTTTGAAACACGCCAGTAATTACTGACGGCAGGTTTCAGCCACGTCTTCTAATCTCTTGTTTTCAATCCAGACCTCGTTATTGAGTCCCCGGATGAAGGAGTTGGCAGCTGTACCATAAACAGCTAAAATGTTTATCGCTCCACAGAAAGTGTGAGCTTGGTGTTCCTATCCAACGTTTAGCTTTGTCACAGTCTGACCTTGTTTCTTCGTCTTTGATCTCCAGCATTTACCAGATCTGGATGAAGAGGAGGCAGAGCTGATGAAGAAGAAGAAGCATCGCGAGTGTGAGGTAAACATCGAGCTCCTCGTCCAGAGGAACATTCTGCAAAAGCAAGTTCCACGCAGCCACAGAGCGCCACGAACTTGTTTTGTATCCGTGTTTGGTTCTCTCTTTCCTACATACTCAAGTTTCTCTCAGAGGTAGAGGAGGCGATCCTGGTGAACTCAGGGTGAACCTGGGTAGGCTCACTACGCTGGAGAAAGTCATTCCAGCCAGCGACATTTGAAAAACAGTTCAGAGTATCCTCTAACTAGAGTTGTACTGTAACTGATGCTGAAAGTCATAAATGAGACGTCTGAAGAGGAAGGCCTGCAGTGCTCCTTTGACCTGCTTTGCACTTATCCTGGCTCTGCTTGCTTCTCTAAAGGTGAGTCTGAGTCCCGACTACACGAGCCCACAAAGGTGGAGCCCCGGACCCGAGCAGGAAGACCACCCTCAGGCCTCCCGGATCAATGCTGGCCTCCTTTACTACGATATCCAGAACATTTTTGTCACTCCGGTTCACTGTGCTCCTCTGCCGGCACTGTGGTGAGTCCTGGAGGTCATCTTCTCCGTCTAACAGAAACATCTAGCAGGATACAGATCTAAAGTCTTGTTTCTTTGTTAGCTGAAGAAAGCTGGAGTGATTCAGGTTCGCTGATGTTGTGAATTAAAAAGCAGGAGATCTGATCTGATCTCTCTCTGTCAGCTGGGCCAGTAAGGATGTGGTGTGGACCAACATGTTGGAGAAGGATAAGAGCTACACCAGGGACGTCCACATGCTGGAGAAGCATCCTCATCTACAGCCCAAGATGAGAGCAGTTCTCCTGGACTGGCTCATGGAGGTGGGTACAACACTGGGCCTCTGCGGGCGCGTCTGCAGCGCGTTACAGCAGAGGCCCATCTCTGCCGACTGCTCCGCGTCGAACTCACTCCCGGTGAGGGTTGGCACGCCACGGGGTTTGAGAGTTAGGGCTGGAGGTTAACTACGACTCTTAAAACTGTTATTGTATCAGATAGGCGACTGTTCTGATGACTACTTCGATGGTAAATCTAACGATTATTAATTTTTTTGCGTGGTTAATAAAAACGATAAAACCTCAATCCCCACAAAACTTTTAACTTATTGTTGCTGTAAAAGAGTAAACACCGACAGCCCTTCCGCTCCCGTATAACACCG